ACTTTTCTAGTATCGTGGAGAGTGGTTTGGTAGCTACATCAGCCAGTTCCCTCGGGACTCTGGGACGCATCTCCTCAAGTCCCTTACTTAGACTTATGTATGTTCAGGTTCTTCAGGTGGTCATAAACCTGATCTTCTGTCACAGTGGGAGGGACTTTCCTACTTCAGCCCCCGTCCTGTGGTCCATTCCTTCAAGGTGTGGGAAGAGGTTGCCGATGAAGACCAAGGCAAAAATGTTTTTGAGTTACTCAGCCTCTTCAAACTGCTTTCTCATTCTTGATCTTTTAAAAATTTCTATACATGTGTGTACATTCATGTCTTGATGTTCAAACACTTGAATAAAGGCATTTAAAAAAATAGAAGTTATTTTAAAAAACCCACATCTTTAAGAGATGTGACATTAACAAACACGTAAGAAATTAATAAAGAATGTATGACTGCTCTTCTCTTTGTCCATGCAGATGCTGCAAGAAAATTAGACAATTTTGTTCTCCTAGATCCCTGTTGAAAAGCAAAAAATTATGATAAAAGAATTGGGCATCACTTAGGACTGCATGTGTTTTTTTTTTTTATTAGATGTAAAAGTTTAGCTCTTCACCAGCCAGTGTGTCACCTATTTCCTATTCTAATACCAAAGAGACACCAGCACAAATGCATCTGGAGAGTAGAATATTCTTTTAAATGTTAAGATACCCTGTTTGAGAAGATGGTTTTAGTATGCGAAAATGAACATCAGTTGCAGAAAAAGTAGAATTCTGAAAGAAATGCTCCACATTACATTTAAAAAATAAAAATAGTTCTTGTAATACAGTTAGGCAGCAGTAGACGATTGGTCTAGTTTTTGGCCATATGAGAGATACAGAAATGTGTTGTTAGAACATGAGAAGCAGTGCCCTTTCTGCTTCACCAGCTGTTACTAGAAAGATAACCACTTGTTTCGATCTTATTAGGCCTTAATTTTCTAACACGAAGCAGAAATGAAAGATTTTGATGTATGTAACAGCACTTGAAAGTGGGAAAAAACAGAGGGTGGGAAAAAAAAGCATGTTGTAACTTTGCTGAAAAAATGAGTGTGACCACTTAGTTCCCTCAAATTGAAATTCAAAGAGAGCAAGTGTTGAAAGTGATCTAAATCACATACTTCTTTGTCTTTATTGGAGAGTAAGTGTTTTTCTGTACCTGCGTGCATGATACTTGCTTGCAAGTAGATATATGCAAGTTATATAGAAGTCTGTAAGATATGGGCTTAATTTAGTTTTCTTTCCTCTTTTTCTATTGTTACGTTGTGTCTGGAAGATGATGCAGTGTCACGTGGATGCCTGTGATGACATGCAGCCACCAGAGTTGGTGAGTGTGCTCAACCTGCTTTTGAAAACTGCGTTGTTGAACAGGTTAAGTGGTAATGGGAGTTTCATGATCTTGAGCGTAGTCAGTGGCAGCTTGCACCTATTGAAAAATCATAAAGCTGTCTTTCCGACTCAGAATTTGTTGGCAGTTTGTCTTAACAGTGTGTCATGTGCAAGTGGGTAATGTTAATTGAAATGCAGAAGCATGCAGCAGCACAGCCAAAAGAGAGGTGCTTTTCTACACCTTTTTACCTCTTCTATGCCCCATTTTCATGTTGTAAATAGTAACTTTGTCCACAACTAATTGTTGTTTGAGCCAGCTGCCCTGCCTGCAACAAAGAACCACTTGCCTGCTTGCTCGCTCCACTCCCGGCAGGGGATGGGGACTAGAACCAGGAAGGAGCAGTAGGTAAAACCTCATGGGCTAAGAACAGTTTAATAGTACAACACAAAGAGAGGAGAAACAACAGTAACAATACCAGCTAAATAACATAAAATGTAAGCGATGCACAAAGCGAACTTCTCACCACCTGGAGCCCAATGGGCAGGCTGCAGCTCGTGTGTTCCAAGCTAAAGCCTCCCTTCCCACAGGCAGCTCCCACTTTATATATACTGTGCATGAAGTCAGGATGGTATGGAACATCCCTACGGCTGATTCAGTTTGGCTATGCGGACTATGTTCCCTCCCAGCCCCTGGTGCAAGTTAACCTCATCCTAGTCAAACCCAGGACACTAATGCACTGTAGATGGATGCACTTAGGATACATATATTTTGTATTAACTTTGTAACATGTTTTTCGTGTCCTAAATAGCAAATATTAAAGTACCTTCTTACTTAACATTTGCACATAAACTATGTTTTACTCAGAAACATATTTGAAAATACATGACTCGATCAGATAGGTTTTGCAGAAGGGAAGTTACAAGGTTTGTCAGGTGTCCACGCTTTCTAGAAGATAGTGAAATGCTGGCAGGTATTAAGTGTCAGTTCTTGGCTTCCATAAACACAGCAAATGTAATTGCTTAACTTAGCTGTTGTCAGGTTCATTTTCTGTTCAGTAGTCTGGGGAGGCAGAAATGATCAAGGATTGTTCTTTAACACAGTGTAGCCCAAGATGGGATCCTGTAGTAACTATCACAGCAATATGTCTGCGTGTTTGCAGTATACTGCTCTGATCAGGCTCTCAATTAAATCCTGAGAAGAATCTTTCATTCTCTGTTATTCTGGAGTCCTCTATAAGCTTTATTGTGTTACATTACAATCTGCTGCTAAGTAACCTGATCACACGATAGTGGTTGCTTAGAGACAGAGGATAAGCTTAACTCTTTGGTCTGAGTAAATATTTTGTGAAAAGTTGTTGTGAACAAGTAGCCGTGGTTAGTTGAAGTTGTCAGGTGCCCACTAAGCTGCTCTCTCATTCCTCTTTAGCAGGATAAGGAGTGAAAGTAAGATGTAAAAGCTTGTGGCTCATGATAAAGTCAGGGAGATCTATTACTACTCTAGTTTCCATTATGGGCAGAACAGAGTTGACTCGGGGAAGATTAATTTATTGCCACTCAAAAATAGCGTGGTGAGAAACAAAGGAAAACTAAAAACGCCCTTTCCTGACCCTTCACTTCTTGAGTTCAACTTGAGTTCTTCATTCTCTACTCTTCGGTGTCCTCTACCACGAGTCTCACAGGGTGGATGGGGAATAGCGGATTCCAGTCAGTTCATAACACTTTGTCTCTGCTCCATCCTCCTCACACTATTCCTCTACTCCACTGTGAGGTCCCTGCCTTAGGGTATAGTCATTCACGAATGCCTCAAATCATTGAATCATAAAATGGTATTTCCAGTGGATTGCAGTTCTTGAAGAACTGTTGCACCTCGTGTTCTTGTTGTGGGGAGCAGTCCTTCAGGGGGAGACTGCTCCAGTGTGGGTCCACTGCCAGATGCCTGCAGCTGCATAGGCTCTCCCATAGGCTGCGGCTTTCTTCAGGGCGTATCTGCCTGCCCCCAGCACAGCATCCTTCATGGGCTGCAGCGTGGTTATGTGCTCCAGCCTGGTTCTCTCCAAGGGCTGCAGGAGAATCTCCATTCCAGTGCCTGGATCACCTCTTCCTCCTCCTTCACTCTGGTCTCTGGGGGATTGTTTCACTTTTTCTCCCTGCCCTCACTCATCTCTGTTGACGCGGAAGTCACGGACACTGCTGACGATCAATGTGATCAAGCAAATGCCACTTTATTAACGCATTAACGCAGTTTATATACAGTTCACAACGTCCTTGTTTTCTAAATGCTCTGTATTGATTGGCTATTAACAACAAACACACGCAGTCCATGCTCCTGTTCACACGCTGTTTTCCTTTGCTGATTCGCTCTTGTTCTCCCCACCTGCATCCTGGGTTTGTTTCTGTTTTCAGTCACATACACCAGCCACAGCTCCTTGTTTTTCTTTGCTTCAGCATATTCTCACAGCTAGTGACCTTCACAATGTCCTTCACAAACTCTTGTCAAGCGAGGCCTAAAACTTGTCTAAAAACAGGCTGTCTGGCTTGTTCGAAATATGTCTGCTGTTCTCTAAATATCCCACACATCTCTCCCAACCAGTGCCTGCTGGGGTATTTTTATCCTTTTTTAAACGTTACCACAGAGGTGCCACTGGCTTTGCTGATGATCTCTGCTTTAGGCGGCAGTGGGTCCATTTTGGTGCTGGCTAGAACTGATTTTGGCACAGGGGCAGCCCCTGACTTCTTCTCATGGAGGCTACCCCAGCAGTCTACCAGAAGTTAAATTCTGGAAAACTGTACATATTTTCTGCTTCTATAGGAAAGTATGAAAATGGAATCTTGTGCACTTAAAAGGCGCTAGATGAAATTAAGCACTTGGTATCAAATACTGGTCTAGAAACTCGAAAAATAAAGAGGCCAGGAGTAATCATTGTAATGATTTGGTATGTGGTGATTGCCTTTGTCTGAGCTAAAACAAAACCAATTCTGTTCAATGGATTTACTTTTCAGCTTAGTCTTTTCTGAGGGGTGACACTTTCTGAAGTCAACAGCATGTGTGTTTTCTGACAGTGTCTGCTATTAGAAGTGATAACGTCTAGTGTTTACAGTTACTGCCTGGGATTGGTATGCAGAAAAGCTCTTGCTTATACTTACTCCTGTAGCGACCAAGATCACTGCTGGATCTTCTGTAACATGTTGGGGGTGCTGGGAAGTAAAAGGGTCAGAAGGAAGTAAAAAAAAATCACACCTCTGGGGAGGAATCAACAGGACAAGTGATGCAAAACTGACAGAGGTATTGAATTCCATATAAGTCATGTTCGTTGTAAAGCTGAGGGGGTCATGAGGGTCAAGCCGTCTTCAGTGGTCAGTATCCGAGTAGGGCTCTCTGTTCTTCTACCCTTGATCCTGAGTTCTTCAATCCAGTTCCTCGCTGTCACGGAGCCTGGGACTTCACTGGTGATGCCTGCTCTGCAGCATCCGTGGGGATTACTGTCAAGGGGGGAAAGTTAAGTTCAGTAGTGGGTTTATATATCTTTGTATATATTCCGTAACTTTAATTATTTCATTGTTAGTACTATTATTGTTTATTAAAGCTGTTGTGGTGTTCTTTGTCAAACTGTAAGTCTCTCTGCCTTACTCTCTTCCCTTTCCCATTTGTGGAAGGAGAGGGTTTAGAGAGTATCTGTCACTCACTTAATGGCTGGCCCAGCCGTAATACATGACAATGGCTTTAGCAGAACAGAAATAACTCATGTCATGATTTATCTGTTCTGAGATACAAAGGATTGTAGCACAGTCTGACTCGAGACAAGGTATTAAAATCATAGAATGGCCTAGGCTGGAAGGGACCTTAGAGATCATTTAGTCCAACCTCCCTGTCATGGGCAGGGACGCCACCTCTTGGCTAGAACAGGCAACACAAGGGGACCGAGCGGGAGACAAGTTACAAAGCTTTTCTTAAGACCTTTGCAGTATTTTTCATGAAAACATAGCTGGAGTAGGAGGATTGACAGTCACTGGGTAAACTTTTTTGTCCCAAAACTGGAGGCTTGAGTCTCTCCTGAGCTATATTGGTAGCATTAATATGGCTATACTCAGATCTTTTCATTTGAATGTTAGTTTAGTCTAAGAGTCAGTAGTAGATCAGGATCAAGAGCTGTCTACCAGCAGCTGAGTTAATGAGACTGCTTGGTAAACAGGTATAGCTGGATCCTTCATGTCATTTTACACCTCACCCCTGAAAGTTTTGACAAGGCAGGATGAGAGGTTAATGGAATATAACCCACCCACCCCCCCCGCCTTTTGTTTCTGGTCTGCCCTATTTTACCTCAGTGTGCCTTTGATGACACATATAGTAAGGTTGGGCATTGAGATTTTTGCATAAAATAGGTTGAAAGTTAAGGAGATGGAAGTATGATAACAAGATGAAAATATGTTCACGAAGCATGGCTATTCACTATTTAAGGTTGTGATTTTTTTTTCTCTTTTTCTTACAGTTTGAGGGTGGCTCTGGATATGGTGAGTGTTCATATAGAACCCTTACATGTACTTCATTATGTGATTACTCAAGAACTTGATGCATCTGTTTAAATTAGATTATTCTTACGCAGGGGGACGTGGTTCATACGGAGATCTTGGTGGACCCATCATCACAACACAAGTAACAATTCCCAAAGATGTAAGTAGACTTAATTTGAACTTGTGTGTTCTCTTAATCATTACAAAAAAAAGTCACAGCATAATAAGTATTTAAGGTGCTTCATAAGTACTTCTATTATAAAACAAGTGTTTCTAAATCAGCAGAAGCCTATTCTTGTTTTGTTTTGTGTCTTCACTTCAGAAACACGCTAAATAATTTTACTAATTGTTAAGATTCAGTAGTAGAGATGATCTACGCAACTTGTTTTTGCAAATGAGCAACAAGTTCTCCCAGTTTTATTCCATGTGTGTTTATACAATTAATATTGCAGAGAATGTCTTGAGGCTGTGAAGGGATAAGCTTCTATTAACTAAACTTATGGAAGCTACTCAAAACACTGCTGTGATTTTCATAGCTGTTCTTAGAAGTAAGAATTTGATCAGAAAGTGAATGCTTTGCTTTCTTCCGCAGCTGGCAGGATCTATTATTGGAAAGGGAGGCCAGAGAATCAAACAAATACGCCATGAGTCAGGAGCTTCAATCAAAATTGATGAACCATTAGAAGGCTCAGAAGATCGGATAATAACTATTACGGGAACACAGGACCAGATACAAAATGCACAGTATTTACTGCAGAACAGGCAAGTTAACGTTTTATGTTGTCTGAGTTGTCAGTTTTAAACTGACGTGTACATGCTAAAGCTGCTCTTGTCTGTGATACAGTTTTTAGAAGGCAGGTTTTAAGCAACTACTTGAACCTAACTTCTCCAGTGGTAGTTCTGCCTTGAGTCTCTGCTGTTCTCCATTCTAATTAAAATGAAGACACCCTCAAAACTAATCTTGCTGGAAGACGCCTTAACCAAGCAGTCCACTCATTTCTCTGGTGAAAACTGCTGCAAAAAAAAACAAACCAAAAACGTACTTGTAGTAAATTGCTTAGAGCCTGTAGAAAATGTAGAAGATTTCATTGGATGTTGGCCTAGTTCTGTGTGGAAGACTAGTGATTTTGTTGTTTTTAGATAACTAAACTGACAACAAATCACAGTCTGCCATATGGCACAGACCATGCCTCTACAGGACAAGCTGAAATGATTTGGTGCTGCAGCATTTCACACTTGGTTGACCTTATCTTGCATTCTCTGCCAAATATTAACAGCTTCAGATTTATATTGATTAGTTTTGCTTTATTAACCCTTTGGCTGCTGTCGCAGAGTTTAGTGTTTTAACTTGAATGTTTGGCTGTAGATCAGTACTATTTAAATGTGCCTAAAATATATTAATGTACCTATAGTTATTAGCCATTAATATTTTTTAATATTTACTTTTAAATGTATTAGAAATTTCTAATTTAATCTACTCTAAGAATGTCATTGTGAATGTTTATGCAAGATGTATGGTCCATCATTCTAATACATGCTTTTTTCTTTTTCTTTTATAGTGTGAAGCAGTATGCAGATGTTGAAGGATTCTAATGCAAGATTATTTTTTCTTTTTTATAGTGTGAAGCAGTATTCTGGAAAGTTTTTCTAAGACTAGTGAAGAACTGAAGGAGTCCTGCACCCCTTTTTTTTTTTATCTGCTTCTGTTTAAAAAGCCAACATTCCTCTGCTTCATAGGTGTTCTGCATTTGAGGTGTAGTGGAATCTTTGCTGTCCACCAGATGTAATGTTTTAGCTCCTTACAAATACATGGGGGGAGGGAAAGGGCGCACGAGACTAACATTGAGATTTTAAGGCAGCAGCAGAGAGAGTGAATTTAATTTTTGTTCATTGTTGGTGGTAAATTGTAATGTTTTTCTGTAACTGTTGTGAACACCCTACTTTACATACACTGTATCTTTTTTTGAAGGAGGGAGAGTATGGAAGTCCAAATGTCCCTGGCATCCTTTGAGAGCAGTGTGCAGAATGTAATGCTCTTTTGTAAGAAACATGATTTTTAAATAAATTTAGTGAACCTATTCTTGGTGGTCATTTTTATTCAGATATACATATGGTAATATGTAAAATGGATACACCCCTTTTTTTTTTCTTTTTTGTTCCCCCCACATAAATGAATGTTACTGTAATGTTTCATTCATACCGATGAAGTTGTGTGGGGTTTTTGGACAGATTAAAGAAATTGTTTTGAAAACAATGGCTCTGCTGTTTGGGGAAAAAACCCACAAAAATATTCATGCAAATGTTGCGTAAAACTTGGACATTTTTGCAAGTGTTTAGCCCTCTGCAGTACATATATATATTGGTGACAGTATATATAAATAAAATACTTTTAAAACTTTGTGATGTCACTGAATAAACTGGTAATGTACACCTGGTTATAGACAGCTTGCTTAATGCAGATAACACTGTTAGAAATGACAGTTGCTGTACTATTACTGAAAGAATTATAGTTTTCTGAGCTTTCATTTGTATGAGGTAGAAATTCTTACAAATTGGCAAATCGACAGTATCTAACTCTGTAATTTGTTTTTTGTTGTATGCAAAACTTAAAACTTGTTTGGTTTCCCTGTTATATGTTGAACTTGGTAGGAATTACTTGTGAAAAATTAAAATATAAAGCCTCTGGATATCTCATGTATTACCTTGGCATTTGTATTTATAGTTTACAAGGTTTAATTCCACTTCCTGAATAAAAACATTTTGAAATGCAAAGGTGTGTTGCACATGTTGATAACTATGGTTTTGGACTAAGCGTGGGTTCTTTTACTGTGTGGCTTGGGGTTTGGGGGGGCGGTTTTGTTGGGTTCCCCCCCCCCCGCTTGGTTTGTAGAATATTTCATTTGGCTTTTTTTAACGGTGTGGAGTAGTCCCTGACCTGGTCCAGCAGCTGCTGCTAAAATTTGACGGGAAAGGCAAGGAGCCTAGAGGT